TGGGCAACTGATGAGGGGTGAATTCCCCGAAACACTGTGTATTGAGCAGGGAGTGGTGCTTTCTTGCAGGTTTGCCGAGTCTCACCGTCCAGGAGCGACACTGACTCACGCTGCTATCTGGTGTTCACGAGGTGTGGTGCTCTCTTGCATGTTTGCCGAGTCGAAGGTTCGATGGACTTCTCGTGTGCTCTGGATGGCAGTCGTGAGTCAGTCAAGTGTCAAGTAAAGTCGGCGGAATAGCGCGAGCTCCGGTGTGGGGAGCAAACCCTTTCTTACAAATCATCGCCGAAGTCGCAACCACTACTTCGTAATCACTATAACCGATGCAAAAATAGTGTAATAAACGTCTTTTGAAATACGAATTTGATCACTATAGGCGACATATTACTATACGCGATAACTGTGTATACGCGATAACTGTGTATACGCGATAACTGTGTATACGCGATAACTGTGTATACTTAGTTATGGCAAATAAAATGAATTTTAGAAATTGATCACTATATCCGGTATATTACTATAGCCGCCAACCTTATAGGCGATACGGACTGTACATCTTGTATGATGAATTTGTACGTGCATGCATGCAGGCATACTTTTGGCGGATCTTTTTGGCTTATTTATTTATTTATTACAGCATCTCATAGCACAGTGAGAACACCGGCCAATACAAAGAGAGAGGGTGTTAGCCAACCACGGCAAGGAAGGGAGAAGGGGGAGGAGAAGAAAAAGGAACCGGCATGGATAAGCAGGGACTGCAACAAAATGAGAAACACAAAATCAAAGTCAAGGCGCGACAAGGCTCTTAAAAAGGCGAAGGGAAGAAAGTTCCTTAGCTTCTTGGGGAAGTGCCAGCCACACAGAGTACGCAGTGAAAAAGAGGTTGTTGGTCATGGAGGTTTGCTTCGACTTGTAATTCATATTTTGCTCTCCCAATTTATAATGATAATCTACTCGTGTAACCTATAATGGTTGTTCAGGTTGCGCTGATGTGTGGTTGCACGGGGGTGAACGAGCTAGTTTGGTAATATGCACACACACACACACACACACACACGCACGCACGCACACACACACACACACACACACATATACACACATATACACACATATACACACACACTATTGGACCACACATAATGGTTAGAATGATGTGTCCTGTTTTTCTTGTGTATTATTCGCTGTCTGTAGATTTCTTCACAAGGGTTGTCAAGAGCAACATTCCACAGATCATTGCCAACCTAGCGACTGTACCAGATATAGTGCTCACTGAACTATTTGGAGAAGGCGACCTGGATGAAGAGTGTATCCGCACTTATCGAACGGCATGTGAGGTGGCCTGTCATGTGCGTGATCTTCCACTTTGCTGTCAAGCAGCAATTGGGTCGTCTTTACTGTACCCAGTGGACAGCTTTCTGTTTCTCTGTTATGTCTTGCACCACCCTGAGCTCACTCAACGACTGGGACAAGATTTACGGATCAAGACCGATCATGAGGCAGGATGTGGTGGGAGTAGTCTTGTCCAACTGTTGAATTTGGCTATTGAGTCACAGAGAGATAGTAAGTGACAATTTGAAGACTGCGATGCAAGTTAAAGAATGTCCATGATGATGAATCCTGGTCAATGGATGATGCTGGTCTTTGTATTAGTGTGCATACCAGCTGAAGGTTATATGAAAATACAGTTGTCTTATACCAGCAGAAATGTTCTAAATGATATTTGCTGTGTTCCAATTTGTTTAGTATACGTTATGTTCTAGCCTTGGTTTCCATTGTGAGGAAAATGAGGAATTTTATTGAAATCGTCCATACCTAATCATAATGGCACTTTCTCCCGGTGACTTGACTTGACACTTGACTGACTCACAACCGCCATCCAGATCACACAAGAAGTCCCTTGAACTTTCGAAGGCGGCGGGAAAGCGCTATCTTCAGTGTTGGGAGCAACTCATGTTCTGATGAAATGATCGCCAAAGTCGAAAACTCTATTTCATAGCACAGTAAAGTAGCCTTAAACCTGCCTGTCATGTTTGTGGAAATCACCAGCATATTATTGTTTTGTAATGTCATAATGTCACTAAAGTTAATGTACCGGCAATCCAAGCAATACACGTAGAGAAATTTCTGTGTGATTCTTCCGATCTCATTTTCATATACAGGAGGTACCGCGATATCAATGATGAATGATGAAGGTGTGATTGCATTGAGAGAAGGACCAGGAGATACAGTTCGAGGTTAGTATTGTCCATGTAATGGTCATCCATTAATGCACAACCCTAGTTAAGGGAAATACATCCTCAAAGTTTATCAGCACGAGCCTTTCAGCGCTAGCATTCCAGCACAAGCATCACAGCGTCCTGTACATTAGGACTACCTTTCTCAGTGTGGCAAAACTGAGCGTCCATAGAGTTAACGAGGAAAATCCCAGCCTGACAGTAAAACCCACTGCGAATTAGAGCGCCGTGGAAATGAGTGCCCACGAAGTCAGTCCAAAATACACCAGCGGGAGAGAAAGACGCGCAGTTAAGTTAGTGCAACCTGATTGGGCAGTGATCATTGCTATTTATGTGTCACACTCAGGGGCATCACACACTTTATGACCGGTAAGACCATGGTTGTACCTTGTTTTCATGCGACGTAGTCTGCCCAATTCATCCAAAAAGCAGTGAAAATTTCATAGGATCATGCACTTCTACTTCGAAGTACATGCACTTGTACATAACTTACACTGTGCACATAACTCACGGAGTTGACTTGAAGTAGACCAGGGTATGCATATGTGCCCTTTACTGGTACTGTTCTGGTCTGTACCCACGGTTACTGCCAGTAGACTAGGACTTGTATTCCGAGTACCGGGTAGTTGTATTTAGTGCTGTGTGCTATGTGCTATGTACAGTAAAACCTGTAACTAAAGACCACCGTTACTAGCGACCAGCCTGGTACTACCGACCACTTGGCCAGGCACGGACGGTCTCACATTCAAAATGCACTGTGACTAGCGACTACCTGCTGAACGCGACCAGCGACCGCCTTTTCTTGTCCCAAAGACGATTTTTGACCCGTAACTAGCGACCGCGATGTAGGAAATCAAAATTTAATGTTGCTCGAAGCTCCTTCTTGAAATGTTGCTGATTTTCCATGGTCCTGAAAGGAATCTTTCGGTACTGCAGCTGAACAAATGAGCGCAGGCCATTTTGACTGTGGAGTCGATATGTGGACTGCACTACACCTGTCAGTATTTCAAGCGCTGTCAAGAATAAACATGATAGGAAACGTCTTGGAGAGCGCATCGAAAGCGCTCTCTGCTCGATGTTACTACTCGGAGGACAAACGAAGACTGAGCAGCTCTGTCACCCCAGTCATACAAATGAATCGACAATGGCGTCAAGGAATCCAGAAACAAAGCAGCACCGCAAGGTCCTGATGCTGAAGGATCGCGTTCGAACAATCGAGAAGTCACAACAAGGATAGTCGGTACGATTGATCGGATGAACAAATTTGAACGAATTTGAAGCCCAGCGCGAAACGAAACTTCCACAGGGAACGTTTGACTCCTGGCTTCAGAAGTAGCAGCTGAATTTGATGTCTGCAAAAAATTTAATCTTCTCTCTCCATCTCTCCGTCTTTCTCTCCAAGTGTTGTTTGACCTGAAATAAGAATGGCATTGCGCAAGTCCTGGGGAATTGTATTAGCTGCATTTTGATATGCAGATCATATACTGGGATCCATATATGGTCGCACGGTGCAAACCTCTAACTAAAGACCACCTGCTACTAAAGACAGCTTTTGCTGGCACCAAGGGGTGGTCGGTAGTCACAGGTTTTACTGTAGTTAAATTTTCTGTTGCTGAATGGTGAATGTAAACATGGTAGTCTAGATGTACATGTATGTCTTCAGCTCACACACACACACACACACACACACACACACACACACACACACACACACACACACACACACACACACACACACACACACACACACACACACACACACACACACACACACACACACACACACACACACACACACACACACACAGAGTCACAAAGACAGTATACTAAGCAACGAACACCTAGCCTACATGATACCAGTTAATCAGCTATGGTAGATGTACGAGGTGTTGACATGTCATGTCGGCATGGAGACGGCCTTTCCATGGTATCTGGAGCTGTGAAAGAACTCAGTTCTGATTTGACTAGCTTAGGTATTCTGGTGTGGTGAAACAATGGCAGTATGAAAGGGAGGACGGCCTATGCATTGTAACTGGAGCTGCTGAAGAACTGTCTGCTTGATGTACTTAGTTTTCTGTTGTGGTGAATCAATGGCAGTATGAAAGGGAAGACTGCCCTACATAATCAAATTATAGATATGAGAAATGTCGCAGAGCATGTGATTTCAGCAGACGTGTCACATGATTGGCAGACACTGGTTTGAACAGTGCTAGGATAAGAAGTGCTATGGAAATGTTTTGCACTGACACTCAGGGCATGACCACAGATACGTAGTGTCGTCACGGGTTTGAAACCGTGAACAAACTGCCTCTACGCTCCTCGCCACGCCACACAACAGAGAGCCAGTACAAATTGTTAGAGAGCTTTTCTTCTACTTCATTTCAGTAGGCGACTGGGGAACTCATAAAGAAGAACCAACACTGACTCTTTGAAACGAATGTCTAACAACTGACGTCGACCGTCGGACAACTGACGACGAACGTCGGACAACTGACTCTGACAACGAACGTCTGACAACTGACGACTGACATGGCAAAAGGAAAACATGATATCAGAAATTGGTGCCCTCGTCAGCACAAAAAGGTGCACGTGTCAACAACAAAGCAGCGCAGCAGCATGTACGGGTCAGCAACAAAGCAGCGCAGCAGCATGTACGGGTCAGCAGCACAGAGACACAAATACAGCAGCAGCTACGACGAAGAGACAACACGTGCAGCCACATGTACACACAGAGACACAAATACAGCAGCAGCTACGACGAAGAGATAACACGTGCAGGCGCAGGTACAACACTATCCCCTACCAAAAAAAAGACATCCACTCCTGTGGATGGAAGCAAAAGTGAAGTGTATAAAAAACGGAAGAAGACAGACCGGAGAAGAAGACAGAAAGACAGGGGAAATGAAATATGAAGCAACATAAACAGGCGACAATAAAACACAAAAGAGGTGGGCCACAACTGTTGAACGCATGACGAGTAGGCCAGGAGGGTTAACACCAGTCGGGAGCCCCGCAAAACTGTGCACCAATCAACGGAACCTGCAAGCAACAGATTTTGCAAAGGATCCCGGCTGGCGAGCTGTTCGACCTGTGTTTGTCCCTTTGGATCTTTTATTCTTAGAACAGCACCAACCTAGTATGCCACCCATCCACCAGTCATGACAAAAACAAAAGTACAAATGCATGAGAAAACAGGTTATGCCGACGGACCCAGCGACGCTTCCAGGAGCGGCGAGACCAACAGCACGCACCGGCCGAGAAGAAGACTGGGGCAGCAGGACGCACACTGGCCGGCTGTCCGAAAACCGATGGCGCTACAGAAACTCCGAGAATCACAGGACACACACAGAAAGAGAGAAGGACTGACGCAAACATCTCAGCCATCACAAAAATCAGAAAAGCACACGAAGGAAGGGAAGAACAGCCAGGAAGAACACGTCGACTGAAACAGGAGCAATTAATCAGTGAGGACACCATTGAGGACACACAAACAAATCGGTTACCAATACGCAAAAAGATAATGAAGAAAAACCACAGGGCGCTACCCTGAAAAAACCCACAGGGATCGAACCTGAAAAAACCACAGGGATTGAACCTGAAAAAACCACAGGGATTGAACCTGAAAAAACCACAGGGATTGAACCTGAAAAAAACCACAGGGATTGAACCTGAAAAACACGGAACTTATAGTACATCCGCTCGCAAAACCAAAAAAACCGAAGAAAAAAACTGTCAGGCACTGACTGGAAGGCACAAGGGCTAACCAGCAACACACGGAAACCATAACACCCGCAAGGCAAACCGATACAAAAAAAACGCAGGATTCCTGCAGATCACCAAGCAGACCGTGGCTCACCATGATCAGACGCCCACCCAGACGAACTAGAGAAACCCACATGCCGAAACACAATTATTACAAAACCATACGCTCACAAAAAAATTCAACCTGGATCAAAAACGAGAATCCTACATGAAGTTCACACCTCCCACCAAACCGGAAGCCAACAGCTTTCCTACCTTGTTGACAGTGCATGACCGAGCCTGACAACGCTCTACACCATGTACACAGAACATGGAGAAACTACTACTTAAACGGTAAAAACACGAAACAAAACAATATGGATCGACTACATACGAGGCAGCACCTCGAGAACGTTCAGGTGGACATCTAAACAAATCACGCGACACAGTCACACTATCGGAGCAGTCCGACGGCAACTCCGTGACAAGCACAAGTGCACAACACAAGACGAGATCAAAGCTACCCATGCTGAATGCACGACGAACATGCAAACACAAGTTCCAGATTCGAACGAGTAGCGCACGAACAGAAATTTGAATTTTTCATACACAACAGTACAGTACAGGGTAGTCAGAGCGACACAACTAACACAACGGGGCGAACTTCCAACGAGCAGCAAGACTACACTACGAGTACACACTCGAACACAAGAGAACAAGGTTCCACGGAATTCCTGCAGGGACCCGAGTCACCCGACGCAAAACTCCAAATCGAATACAAGGTACGGCAACACATTACGCAGAGCAGACAATTACAAAGGCATGCTCACCTGAGTAGGAGCTCCGAGGATCTAGGAAAGGGTTGAACAGACGCAGCAAAGCGGAGCCATGGCGAGAACGCGAAGAGGAAAACGAAAAACACCGGCCGGAGAGGGACGAGCTTCTGGGTCGTGGGTTCGATTAGTTGGGCGCCAAATGTCGTCACGGGTTTGAAACCGTGAACGAACTGCCTCTACGCTCCTCGCCACGCCACACAACAGAGAGCCAGTACAAATTGTTAGAGAGCTTTTCTTCTACTTCATTTCAGTAGGCGACTGGGGAACTCATAAAGAAGAACCAACACTGAAAACGAATGTCTAACAACTGACGACGACCGTCGGACAACTGACGACGAACGTCGGACAACTGACTCTGACAACGAACGTCTGACAACTGACGACTGACATGGCAAAAGGAAAACATGATATCAGAAAGTTGGTGCCCTCGTCAGCACAAAAAGGTGCACGTGTCAACAACAAAGCAGCGCAGCAGCATGTACGGGTCAGCAACAATGCAGCGCAGCAGCTTGTACGGGTCAGCAGCACAGAGACACAAATACAGCAGCAGCTACGACGAAGAGACAACACGTGCAGCCACATGTACACACAGAGACACAAATACAGCAGCAGCTACAACGAAAAGATAACACGTGCAGGCGCAGGTACAACAGTAGCGTGCAGAGAATGTGGTGCAACTTCAAGAGAATCAGTACTGAGACGATATGCACGTTGTACAGATGTATGAAGTTCTGTACTAAGGTCGTAGGTGTGTACAGACCCGGCTGGGTGTTCACTGTGTGATATATATGCGCATTTCACCAATTTTAGCATCATAATTAATGGAAAACATTCGCTTTTCCAGCTTCTTCATCTTTGTCGGGGGGGGGGGGCGGGGGGTTGTAAGAAATGCCTTCAGGGCCCATTTCTTAGTGGAAATAGTAGTAAACACAATAGGGTCGTGCACATTTTAAGGGGAAGTTAAGCCTAAAATCAAATTGTCGCCGGTTGTAGTCTTCGGGGTGCTGAGCTGAATGGTCTTGGTCCAAGGAAGCTGAGATGCTCCCTTCCTTCTTTAATCCCGATTGAACTCGCGCACTTCCACCGAAACTGGGTGACTGCGTCCTACTAGATGGGGATTTGTATGCAAAATGTCACTAAAAGCGCCATTTCGTTCTTATAAAAGCACGGATGACCGCGATTGGCCCATATGTTGTAGTCTTTTGGACGCTGAGTCGACTGGTTTTGGTCCGAAAAGGCTGCGATGTAGCGTTCGGCCCTTATTCCCAATCGAACGTGGTTGAACAAGCGGTCACGTGCTCCACCAGTCACCTGGTTACCATGCCAGCAGGCGACGACTTTCACACCAAGGCTCAACTCAAAGGTTCAAAGGTTCAACTCGAGTGACATAAGCTCGTCCAAACATGCTGCAAGTAAAAGCCCGCAGGCATGGTGACCAGGTGACTGGTGTACGCTCGAGCACGTGTAGGGCGCAGTCACCCAGTTTCGGTGGAAGTGCGCGAGTTCGATTGGGATTAAAGAAGGAAGGGAGCGTCTCAGCTTCCTCGGACCAAGACCATTCGACTCAGCACCCCGAAGACTACAACTGGTGAAAATTGATTTAAGGCTTAACTTCCCCTTTCATACCCAACCGGGTCTGCGTGATTCTACGAGATTCTACGGGATGTTGTGTATCTGTACAACGTGCATAAGGCTTTAAAAAAACCATCCTCTTCTAAGGGTTAATTTGCTCAAATGCATAGCAGTCAGTTAAATTCCAATGAAATGCTTGTGCTCAAATGGTCCTGCTAAACTGTTCATGTTGAAATTCTGGTGATGAAATAGGATTATTCCGGGTGTTGTAGGCTAGTTAAACCCAATTCATCGTGAACATATCCTTCCCATTTTCTTTAATGACTTCTTCCTGATATCTAAATCACATGATTGTATTGTGCTTTGTTCTGGTGTATGTGTATATATTGTGCAGCTGATAATGGCCAGTACGCAGCAGCTCTCAGTGAACTGATCAAGGAAGGTGTCCAGCTGATACCGTACGGGCGCCTGATAATGTGCGGGCCGGGCCGCACAGGCAAGAGCAGCTTCCTGCGATCCCTCCTGCGTCAAGCATTCATGTCCCAATTCGATAGTACTATCGGTGTGGAGCTGGAGAAGGTGATATGCACGATCGAGAAGCAAGGGTTACAGTATGAATGGAAGCAAGCTGAAAATTCTTACCAGCAGCAGTTGGCCCTGACGCACAGAGCTGTTGGACAAGAGAAACAGAAACGGAAAGCAGCAGCACTGAGACAACCAAGCGTAGAGATCTCGCAGAATGCCAGGTCCACATCCTCAACGACATCAACACCCGTAGCATCGCCATCCTTTGTTACTGAGGCTGAGCAAGTGAATACAGCCAGTGTGGGTGAATCTTCTCTCAGGCAACCTGATGACACCACCGATACCGGGTACTCTGCTCAATCTGCTACCAGTTCATCTGAAACTATGGACTCCCAAAATGTTTCCCCTGCATCCAAGCCAGAGATTTCACCTATGACTGCGCTGAAAGAAGAAACACCAGAGCAAGATGTCCAGCAACTACAGACGGAAATCAACTCAGCAACATTGAAGTTCGAAAGCTTCATTGAAGATCTGCGGACAGGCAAAAGCGAAGTTTTCACTGCAGAACATTTCAAGGATTTCACTTTTATGGATGTCTGGGACTTTGCAGGCCAGAAGCTGTTTGCAGCGATCCAACACATGGTCCTGGCCTGTGATCGGTGTGCATATGCTGTCGTCTTTGATGCCTCAAAGAAGCTCCAGGCCAGAGCGAAGCCGACGTTTGGTGTAGATGGTGAGGAACTGCCGCTTTCCAACAACCTGGAGCAGACGAACTTTGATGTCATGGAGACATGGTTCAACGCTATCCACGAGGTCATTGGAGACAGCGACAACGTACCCGTGTTTGCCATTGGCACACACGTGGACAAGTTACCAAAGAATCCAGAAGCAAGGAAGAAGGCAACTGAAGAGATAAAGAAGTACATATGGGCCAATGCAGAGGGAAAAGCATACGCCAACAACATCGACAAGGTGGTATTTGTGGACAACACACGAGCTGGTAAAGATCCGGAAGACCCAGCAGTTGTTCAGCTACGGCAAGACATCATCCAGCAGCTGCAGCATCAGTTCAATGTTCCAATACCAATCCGCTGGCTTCCTGTGACCATTTCCATTGGGCACATTGCAAAATCGTTTGAACGACCATGGTTATCGGTTGAAGAGCTACGTCGCTTAGCTATTGCTGTTGGTAGCATCTCCAGTGATGATTCTGAGTCCGATTTCCAGGAGATGGTGAAGTTCCACCATGGTCTTGGTCATGTGCTTCACTTTGTTCACAATGCCCGTCTTCGTGATCGTGTGATCATTGACATCCACTGGGTTCTGAAGACTATGTCGCTGCTCTTCTGTCCTGAACCAAAGGATTTGCAGAGCAAGCGTCTACGTCCACAATACGACTTGCTGACACAGAGTGGCATCCTCCTGGAAAGTCTTGCCATGCACCGCTGGTCACAGCACAATCGCATGACATCACGCTACACGGCCACAGAAGAACAGCGTGATTTCCTGTTTGAGATGGGTGAACACTTTGCCCTGTTCTACAACACCAAGACAACTGTGAGCGTGCCTGGTCAGAGGAAGGAGGTGACGACTCGCAAGTTCTTTGTACCAGCTCTGGTGGAGCGAGTTGCTCGTCTTCAAGACGAAGTGAGCAAAGGCAAGCCAAGTCCAGCTATGTACCTGTATAGTGGTGCAGATCGTTACTTTCCACAAACCCTGTTCTGGTGTGGTGTTGTGAGGTGTATGCAACGCTACAGTCCAAAGGTGGATCCAATCCTTTATCACACATCGGCACGTATTCTGGTGAAGGATCGTTTCTGGTTAGTCATGCGATACTTCCAGCATGGCATTCGCCTGTCACTGGAGATTCCTGTTGATGCTCGACCAACTGCTAAGTCTTCAATCGCCAGTGCTCCTTCTGTTGCTGCTACCAGTGGGGGAAAGTCAGTTGAGTCCGCTGGCATTGGAGCTGCTGCAAGTGAGGATGAGTCTGAAGCTATCAAGCTTTGTCACGAGCTTCTACCGTACCTGGAGTCAGAGCTTGACAAGCTGAAGGCATTCTCGCTGACTCATGTGGAGTTTGGCAGAGCTGTTCGCTGTCCGTGCTCATTCAGCCGAGATGCGTGTCGCAAACACAAGCAGAAGTCTTGTGTGGAGATTGGCTGTCAACACTTTGCTCCATTGGTGGAAGGATTGCGTCCACGCTGTACAATCGGAGCACGTCCATCAGTGGATATCAGTGATGTACGGCACTACTGGCCATGCTTTGTCGAAGACATACAGGTAAACAGAAGTCATAACTGTTAAATGGGAAGTATACTGTAAAATCAAATTTTCACATGTTGTAGTCTTCGGGATGCTGAGTCGAATGGTCTTGGTCCGAGAAAGCTGAGATGCTCCCTTCCTACTTTATTCCCAATCAAACTCGTCACTTCCACCGAAACTGGGTGACTGCGCCCTACTAGGTGGGATTTTGTCACTAAAAGTGCCACTTCGTTCTTATAAAACACGGCTGACCGAGATTAGCCCAAAAATTATGTTGTAGTCTTTTGGACGCTGAGTCGACTGGTTTTGGTCTGAAAAGGCTGCGATGCAGCGTTGGGCCCATATTCCCAATCGAACACGGTTGAGTAAGTGGTCACGTGCTCGTGCATACACCAGTCGCCTGGTCACCGAGCCTGCAGACTACAAAGGTTCAAAGGTACAGGTCGAGTGATAGGAACGTGCTTATACAGGCTGTAAGTTGTTGCCTGCAGGCACGGTGACCAGGTGACTGGTGTACGCATTAGCACGTGGCCGCTTGTTCAACCGTGTTCGATTGGGAATAAGGGACGAACGCTGCATCGGGGCCTTTTCGGACCAAAACCAGTCGACGCAGCGTCCAAAAGACTACAACCTATGGGCCAATCGTGGTCATCAGTGCTTTTATAGGAACAAAATGGCGCTTTTAGTGACATTTTGCATACAAATCCCCATCTAGTAGGGCGCAGTCACCCAGTTTCGGTGGAGTGACGAGTTCGATTGGGAATACAGAAGGAATGGAGCATTTCAGCTTCCACGGACCAAGACCATTCGACTCAGCATACAGCCATCCTGAGAGTATGTACCAGGCCAGTACATGTCAGGAAAGTGCTGGCCTGAGCCAGGGCAATCTTTTTATATCAGTTGCCCTGATCTGGAAGTGTTTTTAAATCTACCGGCTCCCACACCAAACAATCACACTGTACTCTAACCCAAACCAGTGTAGGTAATATTGCACAATACAGCATGCACTCGCTGGCTCAGGGTTTGCTGTTTCCATGACAACCACTTGCTTGTGACGAGAGGCACTGGCATGCAGGTACATGACTGTAATGATTCTTAATAGGTTTTTCGAGAACTGTTTCAACAAGCCCATTATACACAAATCTTTGAGAACTGTTTCAACAAGCCCATTATACACAAATCTTTGAGAACTGTTTCAACAAGCCCATTATACACAAATCTTTGAGAACTGTTTCAACAAGCCCATTATACACAAATCTTTGAGAACTGTTTCAACAAGCCCATTATACACAAATCTTTGAGAACTGTTTCAACAAGCCCATTATACACAAACCTTTGAGAACTGTTTCAACAAGCCCATTATACACAAATCTTTGAGAACTGTTTCAACAAGCCCATTATCAGTCGGGGAGATGTCCTATCCAGGACATCGCACTCTGAATGAGTCTGATTGGTTACCTGTCCCAGAGTTGTCATGGAAGCGTCGGTCGCGCACACGCGATGAAAAGAAGTGCTGCGTGAGCATTTCTGAATGTATGTGGAGGATGAACGATCGTAATGGCGATGGATTTCTTTCCGAATTGGTCAAGTTTGAGGGAATAGGCGGAGAATATCAGAGATCGGCGGGGATTGAGGTAGTGTATATTCGATTCGCCATCGAATACCCGACCGAATGGCCGTTTTCGTTTGGGGATTTCATGTGGGGTTTCTCGTAGCCACACGGCGCTTCTTTGGAAACGATTGGTTCTAATTTTGAATGTTTTGCCCCGTGCGTTCATTTCGCCCCAAACCTGGTCATGCAGAGGACGAAGACGAGGCAGCAGGCGCTAGGCCCGTAAATTACTGCCTGGAAGATATTGTTTAGCCAAAGCTTGCTGTTGGCGTTTTTGATTTCTTGGATACGACAGCTCTTGGCTAAAACTGGACCTTGGACGGTCTTTCTTGGATATCAACCCAGGACGTGGTGGTCATGGACGTATCGCCATCGCTTTCAGCCAGATCCTTCTGCTGCCTGAAACCAATGGCGAAAGCAAAAACTTTATCGCAGCAGCAGCTACTGCTCTGCTGAAAGTGCGAACACAAATTGCTTCGCCAATCCTCTTGTGCACTTGCAATTTTCAATGCAACCAGATCCTTCTGCTGCCTGAAACCAATGGCGAAAGCAAAAACTTTATCGCAGCAGCAGCTACTGCTCTACTACTGCAGCAGCTACTGCTCTGCTGAAAGTGCAAACACAAATTGCTTCGCCAATCCTCTTGTGCACTTGCAATTTTCAATGCAACCAAAACGATTCGCTTGCCAGTTCCTTTGTCCAGGCGAACTCCACAACGAGGAAAATAAAATTCGTGAAGGCAAGAGGCAAGATACGAATCTCGACTCGCTTGAGACAGCCATCAGGAGAACGACAACTAATTACTTTTGAGACGAAAGGCCTTCGTTGCGTTTGTTTTGAGTGCGACATATTCATCTTCCTCGGACGCGACACAAAGTTTTGAGTCACGTGTCACGATTACTATGGGAACAGCATAGTATGTATGCTGGGGCATGCTGGGTTCCGTGATGTCCTATCTAGGACATCACCAGGACTGATTAAACACAAATCTTTGAGAATTTACTTCCGCCGCATACATTTCTCTATAGTGCTGGATTCCCGAAATCGGAGTGCCAAATCTCCCTGAAAAATAGAGAAACTGTATTTTGCAGATAGAAAACAATAGCAATAGAAGCATTAGGAATTGATGTTGACAAATGCAATGGGGCTTGCAAGTCCTATACCACAACCAGGCCAGGGTCATGACAGCACTGAATTTACGATCCAATTGTATCTAGTTTTGTATGGATCCATGCACATTTGAGTTGTTTCCTTCTCCGTAGGGTGACAAATCTGCCCAAACTGACTGGACCGCTCCCAACCCCAACCCCCCCCCCCCCCCTAGTAGTGGGGACCAACTTCTGGCACTGAATTCAATTCAGTACACCTGCACTTGACACAATGAGGGTCTACCTGTCAGATATGTATTTTGCTATGGCCGGAGTGGATCCCCCTGAAGTCGTTATCTGGTTATCTGTTGAGTTCTGACTTCATCATTTTCAGTCCTGTACAAGTCTATAGTAAAGGGATGGGTGATTGGCTGGTGTAATTAATTTTCTTTGTCTGCATACCACATTGCTTTGTTTCGTTGATTCTCTCCAGACCGCAGAGCTTGCTGATCTTGAGAAGCCAATGCCCGAAATGCCAATGACAGTTGTGGAGCCCGCAGTCAAGGACAGTGGTGAGATGATTTCAGTAAAGTGTTCAGTTTAAAATATACCCTGGAAAGTACAGTGCTGCTCAATTAAATCCAATCATGTGAATCAAGTATGTGCTGGGAGTTGTCCAATCCTAGACCTGCAAACCGTGACTGGTTTGTGACCTGGTGCAGGGTGCAGGTCGCTGACTACTTAGTTGACTCACTCGATCAGATTTCATTGAGCATTCCCTGTGGAATACGGGAATGCAGGCTGGGAAATGAGACATGAGAAGCTAGTATAACCTGCCCATCCCTGATAACTAGAGTGTAGGGTTCACGCAGGGAACGACACACTGGAATTGACCATAATGTCGGGTACGAAGGCTGAATATAAGACTGGGATTATTCCTATAGAAACTTCTATTCAAATCAGATCGGTATTCAAACCTGTTATTTCAAATGTATGTTCTCAATACAACCAGGCTTGCGTACCGATACCTTACCTTGAAAATCAGGCTTGTTTTCAAAACAGTCTTCTATACAAGACAGCATGGCATGTACACAGGGTCATTGGACTACAGGGTGATTGATGGGAAAAGGATACACGGGAATTCATTTGCACGGAGTCACTAGAGTAAAGGATGTATGCAGGGGATGAGTGTTCAGGGAGTCAAGTACGGAATTGGGAATTTATCGTTTTCAATTGGTTCATGGTTTTCTGGATGAATAGCTGCTGCAGAAAATATTGCCATGTAAAATATCGACAATGCTGTCGTCCGCCTTTGATCTATAGTGCATGCAGCTCGGGCTTAACTCGGAGTTCTGGCCAAACATGATAGGTCGAGTACTTGCTCCCACCAGCATCACAGCCTAACAGCCCTACATGCGCTTGTCATGTCAAATCTTGTTGCAATGACCATGACCAACTGAGAAAAAAATGATATAAAAGTGAAAAAGACCAAGGAACTACAAGTTATGCCATAATGTCCAATGACATCACCAGTTACTAAACAATCAGCTCATGCGATAACATTGCACGGCACTGACATTTTCATTTTTATAGATTAATCCTTGGCTCTCCATCCGAGTCCATTCAATGTCAGATATGATTTCTTTATCTCGACCTCTCCATGCTCACATATCAACCAATGTCAACCAATATCTGTAAATAAAACTGAGCAATTTGAGTCCCCAGGAGGTGTGAATTTGCTGTTCCTGGTCCATATTTTTGGGTGAGATATGTGGGGACACTAGTACCGGATTAAATGAACTGGAGAGGAGTGAATGATACATTTATACTTGAAGTAGTTTTCTCCACTCACTGTTTGACACTGTGTGCTCCTTGGTTCTTTGACTTGCAGAAGTTGCAGCAACTGCCCAGAAGCCCGCGGCTGTGCCAAAGAGAGCTACAGCCTACCAGCAAGTGCTGTGCAAGCATTATGCTGCAATACAGAGTAGCTTAGCTATCAATGTGATGGACTGTGTCAAGAGCTTGCGTGCAGAAGGTCACCTCAGTACCGAAGTCGTCATGGAAACCAGAACCCTGCAGAAATCAGCAGGGCAAGATGAGACTCTAGATCACATGTGCGCTCTTCTGGAGAAGCTCCCCGATGACGGAATGTGCTTCTTTGTGGAGGATATCCTGCCGTCGCAAGGTCTGTCACACCTCGTGGAGACATTCCGTGTGTGTCCTGGTCCTGGAAAGTGTTCACTGCATCGCAATGACCTGCATCCTGTATCAGTGTGTTCCAGTGACAAGACACTGTCCATGCAGACTAGTGTTGATGCGTCCCAGACTGGTAATGTCAAGAGTAGTAAACTTGAGACTGGGGTAAGAACTCTACTCTCTACACTCTACTTTAAAATTCTGTTTGCTGATTGTACAGTGAAGTCTACCTTAGCAGTACATCAGCACTTCCTTGTGAAAACGTTTGAGGATGTGAGGATGCGCTAACTCCAAAGTGCACTCTTGGCCGAGAGCACATTGTGGAGTGATGCTGTTACTGTAAATTACGTAATGACCAAGTTTGCTATCAAATTGTCTCCAAGCCCTTTCGGAACCCGAGCAATTCCCATGAATCTGTCCTTCAATCCCCGCTGCAGATGTCTGATCTGCTCCAGGAAGTGCTGCGTTCAAGCTATGTGGAATTGAAGCGTAGCTTGGACGTAGAAGAGGGCATTCTGGACCGTCTCTATGCAGAGAGCATCATCACCCAGCGCTTCTGCAAGAAACTCCGTGCTATGGATGATCGTGAAGATCAGGTAATGCTTTTACTGATGTGTAGCTACATCTACTGCCAATTTAAAGTTGAATTTTAAAGGGGAGGTATACCGTAAAATCAAATTTTCACCAGTTGTAGTCTTTGGGTGCTGAGTCGAATGGTTTTGGTTCGAGGAAGCTGAGACGCTCCCTTCCTCCTTTATTCCCAATCGAACTCGCGTACTTCCACCGAAACTGGGTGACTGCGCCCTACTAGATGGGGATTTGTATGCAAAATGTCACTAAAAGCGCCATTTCGTTCTTATAAAAGCACGGATGACCGCGATTGGCCCATATGTTGTAGTCTTTTGGACGCTGAGTCGACTGGTTTTGGTCCGAAAAGGCTGCGATGCAGCGTTCCTCCTTTATTCCCAATCGAACATGGTTGAACAAGCGGTCACGTGCTCCTGCGTACACCAGTCACCTGGTCACCGTGCCTGCAGGGTACAACTTACTAGCCTGTTTGACCTTTTTTGGGTGCAGTCCTGTCACTCGAGTTGAACTCGAGTTGAACCTTGGTGTGAAAGTTGTCGCCTGCTGGCGTGGTGACCAGGTGATTTGGGCACCCAGGAGCACGTGACCGCTTGTTCAACCATGTTCGATTGGGAATAAAGGAGGAACGCTGCATCGCAGCCTTTTCGGACCAAAACCAGTCGACTCAGCGTCCAAAAGACTACAACATATGGGCCAATCGCGGTCATCCGTGCTTTTATAAGAACGACATAGCACTTTTAGTGAGATTTTGCATACAAATCCCCATCTAGTAGGGCGCAGTCACCCAGCTTCGGTGGAAGTGCGCGGGTTCGATTGGGAAAAAAGAAGGAAGGGAGCGTCGCAGCTTCCTCGGACCAAGACCATTCGACTCAGCACCCAGAAGACTACAATTGGTGAAAATTTGATTTTTAGGGTATACTTCCCGTTTAACTGAAAGTAGGTGTAGAGAGTATGTTTGTTGTGGCTGATTATCCTTCGGTCAGCATACATTGGCAGGTAGCAGCAAGACTGGGGTGTGCGGGGCTAAATACAATTTTTAGGATTTTGGAGAAGAAAATCATTTGGCTGTACCTGGAAAACACCGATCTTGCTTGTAATGGCACAAATAGTAACATCATCTAGCTGTGTACAGCTGGCCATGTATGTATTTGGACAGGCCGCTACTGAGCTACAGCTTGGCAAAGCGAGGGGTTACATATTGAAGATCAGAAATGTGTTGTTTGCCAGTGGATAGAAAATTGCTAAAAATGCATGTTGTCTGGGTATTTTCTATTGGAATGTTGTGTCTCAGGCAACTGTCTTCTTGGAAGCACTGCCGGGCTGTGGCAAGCAGGCGTTCCGTCAGTTTGTGTCCGCTCTGAAAGAGAGTGAAAAGCTGGCCCACCAGGAGCTGGCTGATCTCCTCAAGGAGAAGCTGCTGGAGATGACACCCGTAAGCATTTTGTTCTTGATACTTCCAGCGACATGCGCCATTCCCATTGGCACCGTTTTAGATTTTCTCTTATGGCCAGTATCATTATTGTTCAGTGCATGCTAGGCTTTGACAAAATCAGTTTATCAGGGTTCTAGCGAAAGCTGGGTAGGGGTGCACAGGGCCCCTACTCTTATTCAGCACCCCCACCCCCCTCCGTGAAAAGGTGGCGCCCTTTACTCATTTATAGATTTTTGTTTTTTTTCAGGCAATTCATTGAGAATGCAGTCAATAGTCACTAACAGAGAGGTCCTATAGGTATTCTTGCCTTCGGTGCAATCGGGCGTTCGCTTCTGTACGTTGCATTTTTCATGGCAAGACATTTTTGGAAAATGGGTTACGTGGTAACTGTTTCCCCTGCCCACCCCAGGCACGTAGCTTGTGTGTAGTCAGCGTAGTCAGGTCACCACCACACCAGCAAATGTCTGTTGTAGGTACTGCATAGTCAAAATAGGCAAAGTGACAGCATTATGAGTTTAATAGTGGCACACGGTCACCACACCACAGACATGCTCTGATACAGGGTCACCACACCACAGACATGCTCTGATACAGGGTCATCACACCACAGACATGCTCTGATACAGGGTCACCACACCACAGACATGCTCTGATACAGGGTCACCACACCACAGACATGCTCTGATACAGGGTCACCACACCACAGACATGCTCTGATACAGGGTCACCACACCACAGACATGCTCTGATACAGGGTCATCACACCACAGACATGCTCTGATACAGGGTCATCACACCACAGACATGCTCTGATACAGGGTCATCACACCACAGACATGCTCTGATACAGGGTCATCACACCACAGACATGCTCTGATACAGGGTCATCACACCACAGACATGCTCTGATACAGGGTCATCACACCACAGACATGCTCTGATACAGGGTCATCACACCACAGACATGCTCTGATACAGGGTCATCACACCACAGACATGCTCTGATACAGGGTCATCACACCACAGACATGCTCTGATACAGGGTCATCACACCACAGACATGCTCTGATACAGGGTCACCACACCACAGACATGCTCTGATACAGGGTCATCACACCACAGACATGCTCTGATACAGGGTCATCACACCACAGACATGCTCTGATACAGGGTCATCACACCACAGACATGCTCTGATACAGGGTCATCACACCACAGACATGCTCTGATACAGGGTCACCACACCACAGACATGCTCTGATACAGGGTCATCACACCACAGACATGCTCTGATACAGGGTCATCACACCACAGACATGCTCTGATACAGGGTCATCACACCACAGACATGCTCTGATACAGGGTCATCACACCACAGACATGCTCTGATACAGGGTCACCACACCACAGACATGCTCTGATACAGGGTCATCACACCACAGACATGCTCTGATACAGGGTCATCACACCACAGACATGCTCTGATACACGGTCATCACACCACAGACGTGCTCTGATACAGGGTCATCACACCACAGACGTGCTCTGATACAGGGTCATCACACCACAGACATGCTCTGATACAGGGTCATCACACCACAGACATGCTCTGATACAGGGTCATCACACCACAGACGTGCTCTGGCACATGGTCACCACACCACAGACATGCTCTGATACAGGGTCACCACACCACAGACATGTTCTGATACAGGGTCACCACACCACAGACATGCTCTGATACAGGGTCATCACACCACAGACATGCTCTGATACAGGGTCATCACACCACAGACGTGCTCTGATACAGGGTCATCACACCACAGACGTGCTCTGATACAGGGTCATCACACCACAGACATGCTCTGATACAGGGTCATCACACCACAGACATGCTCTGATACAGGGTCACCGCACCACAGATTTAAGAGCTACACCCCTGCGCCCTCCTACTATTTTGACCTGGCTAGAACCCTGCCGCATTAGTATCTTAGTGTTGTAGTACGTTTTTTGTTGTAAAATGTTATTTTGTGTACGTCGTGTGGTCATCGTGTGCACGTGGTGTTGGTGCATGCGCGTGTGGCTGTGGTGTGAAAAGCAGTCTTCGTCTTGAGTTCGTCATGTCTAGTTGTGTTTCCGTAGTCGTCTTGTAATAAACAGTCTTTCTAAATGTAGTTATCATCGCCCATTGTATAAGTGTGGAGATGGCACGGGGCTGGGAGCAGGGGGGTGCATAGAGCAAGACCGAGCTTTTCGTACATGATTGTACAAGTATGTTCTCAATGATTTGTGGACATGTTGAAGCCATTCTAACTGGTCTATTTCATAACCTTCCTCCATGCTCACTCAACGTCGTGAGGGTGCAGTACAGTCAACTTTGCATATAACGGCACTCGGCCGGGCATCAGAAAAAGTGTCCTTATTCGTGAAGTGTCGTTACACCCGAAGTCTCATTACATGTATACAGGCAGGATGGACTTTTTTCTGGGCATGGACATTCTGTCGTTGTTCGCAAATTGTCGTTATATCCGCAGTCGTTATTAGCGAAGTTGACTGTATACATTTGTAAACCTTTAAAGGTTCACAGAGTAAAACAATGTTCATTATGTACAATGTAGGGGTGAAAGTTGTCACTGAGATCCCGAGTTCGAGTACTCTGATCTTCTCCGATCGAATATTCGAGTATTCGAGTATTATTCATCTCCTAAAAATTGCACACCAAGGGCTTTAAAATAGCATGGTACAACCCTGATTGAACCGAGTAGCAGTCATTTTTCTCAGGTATATTGGTTGGTGGGTCAATTGGGCTCTCTCTACTCGAGAACAAATGTTCACCACACAGTCTGCACATCACCTTCTGCCGACTGCTGCCCTGAAACTGCAGATTTCTGTAGAAAATGCATGTACCATGTATGAACGAGTACTCTGATTTATTCCGAGTACGATTATTTAAAAAAAACCGAGCGAGTACTCGAGTACTCGGTATAATTGTTTCACCCCTAGTACAATGTAATGCATAGAATGTTGTTTGAAGCCGGCAACATGAGGCTAGGAATGTGTGTTGCTTCCGGACTCTGTGCAGTTATGAATGTATCTTTGTGTATGCTTTGTCCCTGTAGGGTCTGTGAAGGTCACTCTGCTGGTGGACCCACCATGAGCTGCTATGTACCCACAATGAGCTGTATCAGTGAATGGTGTGTGTAGACGCTACTAAACGATCGTAATGTTTCTGATCAAGTGTGTTCAGGTATTCCAAGACATTTTCCAGTTGTTTTTCTTTTACTCTGTCTTGAGATTTTGTCTGGCATCCTAACTGATGTAGATATGATTGAATTACACTTTCCTTCATGCTGTATTATTGCTAGAGTTAATTGCTCAGTGAAATGGTTGAAAATGCAAGTAATATATTAGTTAGAGTGTAATGAAATCCACACTCTACTGCACTGCTAGTTTGTATTTGCTATCTATATGTGTATAACCGCTAGCTGTGCTGCATTCTCACGCTTCTTTTCAAATTACTCTAGCTATATAACTGGTTGTTTTAGTGATTCTTACTATGTGACGATGTTCCACTGATGATGGTCACACGAAAACGTTCTGGAATTGTTTCATTTTAATTGTTTATACATGGTTATGAGTGCACAATTGATATTTTCATTGCTATATATGTGTATGCTTCGCTTTGTTGCACGGAAACGTGATCCCTGTTGGGATACGTTTTGAGCTGCTCAGCTGCGCTAAAGAGCCTAACTGTTGGTGCCTTAATATATTATAATTCTACGAGTTTATTGATTTTACAACCTTTGTGCGATTTCTCTCCGGATCGTTCAAATTTACAAGAGTACTGTCTGTTTCATGATTTCAATACTATCAGATATCCTTGATTCACCTTTCCTTTTAGCAGAGCTCATAGTTTTTTTTTCTCTCTTCAGATTAGCCTATGTTCTTTCTGCGCTTGTAGTCTGAGTAGTCAAAAAAAACGTACTCAGCGTCACATTCACGTCTGAAAGTTGCATTACCTGAGATTATGGAGAGTTACTCGGATTGCAAGAAGTTTGTACTGACGTATACTGTATGTGGGCTTGTACGAGTTGTACAGTATTGCTTGATCTCTATGCTTGACGGCATCACACGGTTATCACGAAACTGAACTATCACAATGTCAGACCGGGAATACCTCATTAGTGCAACGGGAAGATGGCTGACTGTACTTGCTCAATATGATTGTATACTAGTTGTTAGTTGGACAATGGCGGGTATTGAGTGGAGTTAGTACAGTGTACATTCTACTTGTACATGTACTGTTGGTCGCTGGGTCTGCCTAGTAACCTACATGAAAACTGCTCTTATTTTCATGTACGTGTATAGTGTACTCAATGCACATTTGAGTTACCGTGTATACATTGGTATGCTGTGCTTGCCGTACGGTGAAATTCTAACCTGGCCTTTCTTGGGCGGCCAACAGTACTCACCTCTTTTGGTTTCCTAAGTTTTGAGAGAATGTACAGCATACCGCCTGTCTCCAAGTTCTGTCGTGGACATGGAAATCCGGTCGCACGTCTAGCGGCCCCAGGGCGCTGGCCATGCAGCCGTGGATAACTTGGACATGCATGGTCGCATCGGATCAACATGATTTTGTGCACTGCACACAGCGTTCTGTACAGACTGAGGGCGCCGGCCCCGGTCAATCGACTGGATTTCCATGTCCGCTACAGTATGTATGTGACTTATGTAGAGACTGTGGGTTCCGGATTTTTTGTGTTTTCAGCCTAATGAAGGGCCAGTCCCGAACATTTGGTGGAATGTTTTTTCGCAGTGAAGAGACAGACTGTTGTTGGGGTTGGAGAAGTGAATCACACTGTATGTTTCAGTGGTTGCCTTGGAGTTTAGGGAAAATTAAAGGGGAAGTTAAGGCAAAAATTAAAATTTCACCAGTTGTAGTCTTCGGGGTGCTGAGTCGAATGGTCGTGGTCCGAGGAAGCTGAGACGCTCCCTTCCTACTTGAATCCCAATCGAACTCGCGCACTTCCACCGAAACTGGGTGACTGCGCCCTACGAGATGGGGATTTGTATGCAAAATGTCACTAAAAGCGCCATTTCGTTCTTATAAAAGCACGGATGACCGCGATTGGCCCATATGTTGTAGTCTTTTGGACGCTGAGTCGACTGGTTTTGGTCCGAAAAGGCTGCGATGCAGCGTTCCGCCTTTATTCCCAATCGAACATGGTTGAACAAGCGGTCACGTGCTCCTGCGTACACCAGTCACCTGGTCACCGTGCCTGCAGGGTACAACTTACTAGCCTGTTTGACCTTTTTTGGGTGCAGTCCTGTCACTCGAGTTGAACTCGAGTTGAACCTTGGTGTGAAAGTTGTCACCTGCTGGCGTGGTGACCAGGTGATTTGGGCACCCAGGAGCACGTGACCACTTATTCAACCATGTTCGATTGGGAATAAAGGAGGAACGCTGCATCGCAGCCTTTTCGGACCAAAACCAGTCGACTCAGCGTCCAAAAGACTACAACATATGGGCCAATCGCGGTCATCCGTGCTTTTATAAGAACGAAATGGCGCTTTTAGTGACATTTTGCATACAAATCCCCATCTCGTAGGGCGCAGTCACCCAGTTTCGGTGGAAGTGCGCGAGTTCGATTGGGATTCAAGTAGGAAGGGAGCGTCTCAGCTTCCTCGGACCACGACCATTCGACTCAGCACCCCGAAGACTACAACTGGTGAAATTATAATTTTTGCCTTAACTTCCCCTTTAATTAGAAAATCATTTGGGTGTAGCCGATGCTGTATCCCAAGCAAGCGTTGGCCTTTTTCGTGTCATTTTCACAATACATGATTCACCATAGCAACGAATGAAATTACCCCGCCTAGTTACCATGGTTACTACATTCTAGTCTTGCACTGGCAGAGACTGCGAATCTCACGTGGCCACTGCAAAGTGCAATGAATGCATGCCCCCCTCTCCCTAAGGGGCCGTCCGTAAATATCGATGTTTTTTTAGAGACGATATTGGTGCGTCTGGGGGGGAGGGGGTTTGAGCCATGTGCGTCTTTTCGAGCATCAGAAAAATATCGATGTAAGTTTCGCCGATCCCTGCACGCGGACGTCTAAATGGCTATACAAGAAATGTGAAACCAGCTTCCGTTCGCGGAGCTAAAACTCGCGACACGAGAACAAAATCAAAAATTGGAAGCTGTACGCCCATGGCGAATTTCAAGAGCAAAAGAATGAGCCTATTGATTGTGGAAATCGGCCGAACGATGCCTGCAGGAGACCTTTTTCAAGACGTAGAGGCAGTGCGAACAAACACGGACGAACTCCACAAGAGTTTCCAGTCTTCACTGTCTGAACAAGGATTTGAAAAAATTCAAGCCCGAGCGTAGCCGCTTTGGCTACACCAGTACACGATGGCTGTGAGCACTGCACTGCAGCGCCAACCCGGTTCGCTCCCCCCAGGCGATGCAGCTATTGCGTGAGTGCGGCGGGATTTTCACGCCTACACCGGACCCTCAACATCCTGGGCACTTCATGAGCATCCAAAAATATTGATTCCATGATCTAGATGTACATGTGCGTCTTCTGGGGGGAGGGAGGGGGGTCAAGGGAGAGAAGCACCAATATCGTCTCTAAAAAAACATCGATATTTACGGACGGCCCCTAAGTAAGTATTAGTTAGTCCCCTTACTGCCCTTACTGGGCCTTACTCCTTAGGCCGATTCCACACTACACCAAATCCTGCCTAAAAAGCCATTTTTCAGGCACTTTTCAGGCAAGTTGCCATGGCGATCACTTTGAGGAACGCGCGAAAGTGAAAAGTGCTTGTTGTCTACAAAGCAACACCAGCACCCTCTTTCAAGGCAACTTTTTACCTTTTCAGGACACTTTTCTGACTTTTCTTCAGCCTTTCGATTTTTTTCCGAATGTGTTCCCTGTCGTATCTTTCAGTTGTGGTGAGTTGTGGGCTGTCAACAATGCCTAGGGTCATGTTTAGCCAGGAGCTTGAGGGCAAGCTGATCGAGCTTTGGAGCGCACATTTGAGGCGACCTCCGGGCGGTACAGTTCGCAGGAGCTACGCCGGAGGAGATCGCCATCAAGCTGAATTTGTTTGCTGAACAGCTCCGGGAGGAGGCAATCTATACTGCGTCGATCGTCCATTCCAAAATTGACAACATGAAAACGAAGGCGAAAGGACTGTACGAGACATACACAACGAAAACTGCCACCGGAATGCCTGTTGGCGAGGTTGACAAATATTCGACCTATGATCTGGAATCCGCCTACACAGCGCGCGGTAGCGTTGTCAAATTTCAAGATTGGGCACGCGAAAATGGGTGATATTCGAGGATTTGGACCAACAAAGAGCCTCTCCGGCACTACCGCCGTTGCTCCATCAAGCACAGGAAAGCCTCACAGTCTAACCTTCAAAGCAAAGTCCCGTAATCGGCACTTGTAGGTGTGAATGCAGCTTCACTTTATAAGCCACTTTATGCCTTCAAGGCAAAGCCACTTTCGGCGTAGTGTGGAATCGGCCTTAGCCTAGGCCAAGGCCAGAAAGAAGGCGCCAAACCGGCTCAGTCCGTAACCAACGGCCTTCGGATCGACCCACCGCGTACCGGGACGCGGTAGCCACCAACGACCCAAGCCGGCCACTACGGAAATCATCATACATGTAGCTGTTCCCGTAGCATCTGAACTGCACTGCATGCGTCGGTATGTGTGTGTGTGTGTTTGGTGAAGACGCAGTTATTACCGGTCCGTTCATCTGCAAAGAAGAGGTACAGGACCATTGTGTTTGATAGCAGTTTTGTACACTGTAGTCTCCTGGGCAGCATACCCTTGTCCCAGAACCAGAGAAAGTAGACCTGTTCAGTATCACCGAAAAAAATCATTGTCGGTTCGTGTGTCCGTCGGTGACAACGAGGTCTAAACGACAACGGTAACATCGTTGCGTTGTTTTCTCTCGATCGAGTCAGCGTGATGTGGTGATGATAAGCCACTAGTGTGACTTGTGCTGGAAAACCGAAGCTGCACTGTATCTGCAGCTATCCAGTATTTACGGTAAGGTACAGTGCATGTATACACTATGTAAACATGTCACATGACTAAGAGGGGTAGACCTTGAAACCTTCAAGCAGTACAGTCAGTTATTGCCAGGCTGGCAAGATGGGTTGGAGTCATCCTATTTGGAGAATTGATTTAGATTTTCAAGACGTGAAGAAAACCCGTGTTAACGATACCTACATGTAGTTGTATTGCAAGTCAAATTCACTCTATGGAACGTACTACAACAGTAGTGCAGAGATACAGGGAAATAGCAAAGGCAAAAGAATAATTACAGTAGGTATCAGTTATAGCGTGGGTGTTTGAAAAACGACATTTGATTCTTATTGCCGATATTTCTTACACACGATAAATCACGTGTGACATATCATATGCGCGCACGTTTGACATGTGGGCACGTACACATGATACACACGGATCAATCGGACTCGCGGTCGTGCTAGGCGACTGCGGAGCAGCGGATACAAGAGAAGACGGAAGAAAGAGTCCGACTGGACAGAAAAAAGTGATTCTCCAATGCTCCCTTGGACATAACTCTCTTTTTGTGTTGAATATTATTGTATTGAGTATGCACAGAGCACAGATGTTATTACTACAGGCGATACACTTTGCACTAATCTGGCATATTTTGCTACCCAAAATCCATTCTTAGGGCCGATATATTCTACTATGCGATAATACTGCTTGTAAGAATAAATATACACATAAAATATGTGTTATGATTATGAAAAAATGAGTGTTCATTCTTGTAAGCAGTATATTCTTGTATACGGCCACACTATAACCGATACGCACTGTATATTGATTGCGCTTCACATGGGTCAGCGCAGTTCTGTTCACGTCATGCTTGAGAAGAGTATTCGACTTCATATGCCCAGAACATTGCCCCTGAACACTGTCCTCAAACTGATGCATACTTCCCCTGTACTCAAGTACTTGTATATCCGTCTCTATTTTAATATTTCCCGAAACCTTATACATGAACCTCTTGCAGGGGCGTCGGACACGCTACGGTCACTATGGTATTGACCGTACCACTCTTCATCCCGGGTACCCTGTGAATCAATAAAACACACTGATCTGAGGTCTAAATTTCGAAATTTTCATAGGACCCCCCCCCAACCCCACGAGTAAATTGTACTTCAGATGGCTGACAGTACCATTCTAAAATACATTCCAACACCCCTGCCTCTTGTCATTCACACAGCGTTTACATACAATGGAGTTCACCATGAATGCAGTGAATGGGATTTTCTGATTTTGACCTCTTTGGTTGTGGGTCTGATCAGTGATCAACTCACCTCCCATCACTTTAAAATCTGCATCTGCACCCTTGATCCATAGAGGGTGGTGGAGTTGCTGCGGATTTGCAAAACTCAGTCTAACTGAGTATCACGTGAACCATGAATATCTTTTACAAATGATGTAGTGAAATGATTGTGTGTACATATGAACAGTGTGAGTTTTACATAATACTCGTATGTGGCTGTGGAGAACCAGCAGTGACAGTGTAAGGAGTGGTGGTATGGTGTAAGTGGTACATGGCAGTATTTGTCTCCATACACATGGGTCAATCATCTCTATGCTGTGTGTGTGTGTGTGTGTTAGCATAATGATAATATGTGTATACATGGTACATGGTATTGTGTTACACTGTACAGCCGGTCTTCTGGTTGATTGTCATTCATACTTGAATTCTCTTTCAGCAAATTCATCGACAGTCAGAAAAGAAAGATTCTGTTTGCAGTCTGTTTGTTTTTGTTTGTGTTTTGTATCACTTTGTGTTTAGAACGATGCCGTTTGACTTCTGGAATGATGTCGTCCTGCCAGCATGGCATGACATAGCTCAATGCCAGATTACACATGAAGCGCTCGAGAAAGTCGTCATGGCAATTGATGAACATCATCCACGTATCAGCAGAGATCCCATGCTGAAGAGCAATGTGATGGGTTGGAAGGAGGTTATTAAAACCAACAGGAATTTAGAAAAGGATAGGTTAGCCCCATATGTTGCCTGTGTTACTTGCTACAAGAGAGGGCAATCAGGTGTCCAGAGCTTCATTCAAGACATCCAGTCTTCAACTTTCCCGTCCAATGTTGCTGTTGGTGGAGTGCTGGAGAGAATTTGGCAAGCTCGGAAGAATGATCATCCTGATGAAGATGTCAAGGATCCATGTGAGTAAAAGATTGCCATTTTACAAGTCAGTTCTAACACTTGCACCCGGTTTATTTAAGCAGGGGAGTAGTGCAATGATTTCATGGTATTTTGTATGTAAACTTTCATACAGTGAAACCTGTCTAAGGCGACCACTCAAGGCACGAGAAAAAGTGGTCGCCGTTGCCAGGTGGTCTTCTTATCCAGGTTCAGTGGGTCACGTGACCCTATCCACATGTGATACATCATTGTGATAAGTGCATCACAGTGCACACACGTACAGGTATGCTACTCTAGCACGACTCATGTGCCAGGGGTCCTCAGACCTGTCGAGCGTCGTGCATGCACCATGCACATATACACTTCCTGCACTGACGTGTAGATCTACCATGCATGGTGCACCATGCAATGCATACATTTACATGTACTAGCACTGTGCAACGCGGTCGCGGGTGGGTGGTCGTCGGTCGCGTTGAGCGACTGGTCGCCTTATCCGAGCTGCTTTTAATGTGAATGCGTCCGTGACAAGGAAAAGTGGTCGCCATGGTCGAGTGGTCGCCATTACAGATTTTACTGCACTTCATACACGTGGAATTGCACCACTTCACTTGTTAGCTGCTCTGGCAACCCAATACTTTCACTAAGCACTCTCAGAAGACTACCTTGTAGTCTCATGAGCGTAACTATGAGATGTAGTATTGGAGGACAGGAACCACTGGAGCATGCGCTGTTCTATAGTTGATGGAATAATCTGAATAATCTTTACAGACAAAGAAGCGGGAAATATGAAATAGTGAGCACAATAGTGCGTTTGTATTGTGACCTGTATGCTGCATAAGTATCATAGCATAAGTATACCTGTTGCATACTTGTATACACCTTGTAAATGAAGATAGCATGTGCAATACTGTACATTGAAGAAATCTACACGTCATACATGTTATGTGTGATGTTATGCTTGTGCATGTTACAACATTATACAAGATCATGCATTCTATTCTGTAGAGTAGAACTACAGTATATTCATAAAAAGATGGACTTCTAGCCTTTGACCATAAATGGGTCAAACCTTTTAGATTATTTTTCTGCAATCCCTATGGAATCCTCTTCTAATTTTGTTTCTGAAGTCAATTTGTCCAAAATGCAAGCCATAACAAGAATAGGATTTCGGCCAGGTTTTGCCCCAAAAGCACTAATTTGAGAAAAACCATCAAAATCCAGGCCGTTTGAACCCGCTTGCAACAGTGCATTGTGCGGTTCGAACCCCAATTCAGGTACCCTTTTTGGACCCGGTTTCAAATTTCAAATTTCGAAGCACTGATTGTATACGATAATATCACGAAAATCGCCAAATACGGGAGCTCGCCAGAGCCAGGGACCATCTTTTTTATGAATGGACTGTAGAACCGGCATACTGTAGAGGCAGAAAATTTCGTCGGTCAATAATTTCGTCCAACTCCAAAGAAGAGTGGTTCGTCCGGTTGAAAATTTCGTCCATGGGTCATAAGAGTGTATAGAAACGCTGGACAAATCGATATTCGTCCTACATTTAATTTAGTCCAAAAGCTCCTTGGACGAAAAAGACGAAATTAAATTCCAGACGAATATTTCTGCTTATACCTACCATCAATGGGAATGAAAAATGTAGTTGAGCCGATGTAGGATAATCACAACTCATGCATTGTACCATCGTGTTACGGGTTTTAGTCAATACATGTCTGTACAAAAGTACTGAAATGAACATGATTGCACTCACTTTAGTGTAATCGTGCTATGTAAGTTTAATAACGAGACGTGTAGATCTTTACTTGATCAACTGATGCCAAGTATTGTTTGGTGTAAAGATCCATCAATCTTTGTTACGCTACATGGACTTTGGACTAAAACTGAGCATGTATGTCACATATGCTGTATACAGTCAAATTATCAAGCAATGCATTTGCAATACTCAACGCTACCTGAAAGCTATATTATTATATGAGTGCACATTTTGCCTGAGTTCAAATGTAGTCTAAAAATATACTTCCTCCGCACCACCGAAATGTGCACTTATTTTTAAGAGCCTGTGAGCAATCATTCCTTGACATTGGCTAAACAGTACGTCATAATTTGGATGCAAGTATCTAGAAAGGGAAAATACATCTATGATAGCGGACGTTTGATGATGACTCAAGCTAATGGGGACTCAAACCCTCTCCAATATAATCAACAGCGAGTGACACAGACACACACAAAAGAAAATGAGTCATACGATGTGTGAAAGTTTCAATTCCCGTGCTTCCGGGCTTTGCACGCAAAACCAGTTTGCGCAGCTAGTGCACGTATGCCCGACACGTGGGCTCGTGCATGGAAAACCTGTAAGCATTGCTGCGATCGCGAGGTCCTGTACGCACCAGCTGCTATGCGCGGAAGCCGGCGCAGAACTAGCCTGCAGCACGCAGTGTCGAATTGAAGTGCTTTTTGTTTCAAGCTCCTGCACTGTAAGTTCTTCATCTCCTGCCAAAGTCTGAACAAGTGAAAATCCAGTAGCTCACATTATGTCATTGTTCTGTCTGGACCTGTACAGCTGAAAGGCCACAAATGAACCTTGACTACTGGTCAGAGTGCAGAGCTTGCACAACGCGCAAAGCTTGAGTACCATGCAACTCTGAGTTGAGATATTTTTTTCCAATGGATTTCTGCTGAAATACTATGGAGAGGCTGGTTCAGGAAAAGTGCTCTGCTGGTCCTTAGGCTGTGACGTGCTGTTGTTTGGAATTTGATGTTGTGCCCGCAGCCGATTTGTGATTGCTCCTACGCCGTACGAGAGTAGAAAAGCCTTCAGACTACTTTTGCTAGGTAGATTGTGTCTCTCAAGTACACACTGATCCTGCCAGCAATGAGAATGTGGCCAGTTTAAAGGGGAAGTTAAGGCAAAAATTAAAATTTCACCAGTTGTAGCCTTCGAGGTGCTGAGTCGAATGGTCGCAGTCCGAGGAAGCTGAGACGCTCCCTTCCTACTTGAATCCCAATCGAACTCGCGCACTTCCACTGAAACTGGGTGACAGCGCCCTACTAGATGGGGATTTGTATGCAAAATGTCACTAAAAGCGCCATTTCGTTCTTATAAAAGCACGGATGACCGCCATTGGCCCATATGTTGTAGTCTTTTGGACGCTGAGTCGACTGATTTTGGTCCGAAAAGGCTGCGATGCAGCGTTCCTCCTTTATTCCCAATCGAACATGGTTGAACAAGCGGTCACGTGCTCCTGCGTACGCCAGTCACCTGGTCACCGTGCCTGCAGGGTACAACTTACTAGCCTGTTTGACCTTTTTTGGGTGCAGTCCTGTCACTCGAGTTGAACTCGAGTTGAACCTTGGTGTGAAAGTTGTCGCCTGCTGGCGTGGTGACCAGGTGATTTGGGCACCCAGGAGCACGTGACCACTTGTTCAACCATGTTCGATTGGGAATAAGGAAGGAACGCTGCATCGCAGCCTTTTCGGACCAAAACCAGTCGACTTAGCGTCCAAAAGACTACAACATATGGGCCAATCGCGGTCATCCGTGCTTTTATAAGAACGAAATGGCGCTTTTAGGGACATTTTGCATACAAATCCCCATCTAGTAGGGCGCAGTCACCCAGTTTCGGTGGAAGTGCGCGAGTTCGATTGGGATTCAAGTAGGAAGGGAGCGTTTCAGCTTTCTCGAACCAAGACCATTTGACTCAGCACCCCGAAGAGTACAACTGGTGAAATTTTAATTTTTGCCTTAACTTCCCCTTTAAGGTAACACGACAAACTTAAACCATGGAAAAGATATGCGCACATTGCGGTGGGGTGGCGAAAGTATGAAGATGACATTCAGACAAAGACAAAAAAGCGGCGACAAGTACGGAAAAGTGTGCACACTGGGGGGGGGGGGGGGGGGGCAGAAGACGGTGCAGCATCATGTACAAAGGGGTGACAAAAACACAGCAAAAACGCAGCAGCAGGCCGCAACAGAATGACACAAACGCAGCAGCATGTACAACATACCTATTTGTATACAGCATATTATTTCCTAGTGTGCAGGTCAAATGCAGTCTTTGTTATGGTAATACAGTGTATGTACAGTCTGTGTGGATATGGGTATACGTATAGCTCATGTCATTCCATGCTCTGATCAATTGACACCAGTTGTTCCACACCAGCAACCATATAGCCCAACTCAACCTCTTGTGCTCAGCTGTGCCTTGCTATGCTTGTGCCACACCACGTGCACACACACACGATGACACTGCATGCACACACACACACACACACCCGTGCACACACACACACACCACATGCACCTTTTTTGCCCTTTTGAGTTTTGACGCCCATCACCGAGGCGATGATAGCGATGCTACAGCAGAAGCCATAGCAACTTGTGCTGGGATTGCACCATTTAACAGCTTACAAGGCTGAAGAATTGACCGCCACTATTCTGAGCAGTGAATCCCTCTGTGACTTTTTCGTTTTCGTTTTTTCCAGCACACATCACACCACATATTCCACCATATACTGGCTGTTGGGACTGACCACCCAGGATTTTTCATACCACGACACACACACACACACACACACACACACACACACACACACACACACACACACACACACACACACACACACACATACACACACACACACACCCACACCAGACACACACACACACACACACACACACCACCACCACCATCATGTACCACACACACACACACCTCAGACCTCAGACCTGCCCATCGCGGAAGCGATGATAGCGAACAGCTATATTAGACATAGCAACTTGTGCTGGAATTACACCATTCAACAGGTTGCAAGGCTGATGAATTGACCGCCACTAATTTTAGCCTGGTATCCACCACACAGCAGATTGAAGTGGCTTATTCTGGCCAGTGAATCCCTATTTTTCATTTTTCCATTTTTTCATTTTTTTGGACACACACGCCACACCACATACTCCGGCATACACTGGCTGTTGGTAGCCACCTAGGATTATGAAAGAAGAGCTAGGAGATGAGAAAGAAAAGAAAAACATGTGCGACCATAGTCGTCTGGAATTGAACCCGCAGCCTCTTGATAGGAGATCGACTGCACATACCACTGCACCATATGGGACACACAGGGACACATGCAAACAAACACACACACACACACACACACACACACACACACACACACACATACGCGCGCACACAGATACGTGTATACGTAAAGTCCGCTGCAAGTGCCCACTTCGCAGCAAACGCTCACCACAGCGGGTCCATAGTATTTTCGTCTTTTTCAGGTCAATTTAGTTGTAGAAAACTGGCATGAAGGTCGAATGCGTACAAGAACGACTGTAATGCCCACACACTGCCTATGTCTTACCAGGATCCTGTGCAAAAGCGATTTTGCGTCTTTATCTTGCTGCAAAGAAAAACTTCGGTCGGGATTTCCTTTGCATCCGATAAAAGAGTCATCTTTGTTATTTTAGTTCGTTCTCCTGATGATGGGCCAGCCCTGAAAATTTGGTGTACAGTAATGTAAATGTAAATTTGAATTTGAATCGCAGTGAAGAGACCGTTTTTTTGAGTTTGGAGTTGAGTAGTGAAGTTTCCTAAAAGTTTGTTCTCCAGTATTTTGGTTTTCAAATCATGAAATTTCTGCAGTGCCATGAATGTGACGATGTTGCACTTTCAGAACGGAACCGTGATTGTTCTGACGAAGCGTCATTCGACGACTTGACCAGTCGCAGTATTGCAGTCGCAAGTCGAACAGGGGAGATGTCACAAAAGCTACACCTACAAAGTCGCTACCAACTTGTTGACAACTCTGAAGTGCTCGAGAAAAACCCTTGCCTTTGCGTGTTGCGTGATTTGGAAATGATGGCTTGAAGCACCGTCAGAAGTATATTTGGTTCCTGCAATACTCTGCATTTTGCTATCTTGTTATTCGGAAGAAAAACCCATTTGGATTTGCGAAATACAACAAACAACATCATAAAATCACTACGAGCCAGCTCGTAGCTAGTGCCCAAAAAGACTTTGAAACCAGGAAAGTGGACATTGTTTACCGTAGCAAAGCGCTCTTCGCGCCACGGTGTGAGATGCACTTTTGTACAGTGGGAGTGACAGTGCATGGGGTCAGTGCATACAGGTTAGCAGATCTTGCACAATGCGGTGGGCATTTGCAGGGGACTTTACGGTACACAAACACACACACACACATACACACGAAAAAACACTATTGGACCAGACATAGTGGTTACAATAACGTGTCCTGTTTTTCTTGTGTATTATTCGCTGTCTGTAGATTTCATCACAAGGGTTGTCAAGAGCAACCTACCACAGATCATCGCCAAACTAGCGACCGTACCAGATATAGTGCTCACTGAAGTATTTGGAGATGTCAACCCGAATGAAAGGTTTATCAGCACTTATCGAACGGCATGTGAGGTGGCCGGTCATGTACGTGATCTTCCACTTTGCTGTCAATCAACAATTGGGGCGTCTTTACTGTACCCAGTGGACAGCTTTGTGTTCCTCTTTTATGACTTACACCACCCTGATCTCACTCAACGACTGGATAAAGATTTCCTGATCAAGATCGACCATGAGGCAGGATGTGATGGGAGTAGTCTTGTCCAACTGTTGAATTTGGCTATTGATTTACAGAGCGATAGTAAGTGACAATTTGAAGACTGCGATGCAAGTTGAAGAATGTCCATGATGGTGAATCCTAGTCAATGGATGATGCTGGTCTTTGTCTTAGTGTGCATACCAGCTGAAGGTTATATGAAAATACAGTTGTCTTATACCAGCAGAAATGTTCTAAATGATATTTTCTGTTTTCCAATTTGTTTAGTATTCGTTATGTTCTAGCCTTGGTTTCCATTGTTACGAAAATGAGGAATTTTATTGAAATCGTCCATACCTAATCATAATGGCACTTTCTCCCAGTGACTTGACGTGACACTTGACTGACTCACAACCGCCATCCAGATCACACAAGAAGTCCATTGAACTTTCGAAGTCGGCGGGAAAGCGCTAGCTTCAGTGTTGGGAGCAACTCATGTTCTGATGAAATGATTGCCGAAGTCGTAAACTCTTTTTCATAGCATAGTAAAGTAGCCTAAAACCTGCCTGTCATGTTTGTGGACATCACCGGCATAATATTGTTTTGTAATGTCATAATGTCACTAAACTTTATGTACCAGCAATCCAAGCAATACTCCTAGAGAATTCTATTGTGTCGGATTCTTCTGATCTCATTTTCATATACAGGAGGTACCGCAGTGTCAATGATGAATGATGAAGGTCTGATTGCATTGAGAGAAGGACCAGGAGATACAGTTCAAGGTTAGTATTGTCCATGTAATGGTCATCCATTAATGCACAACCCTAGTTAAGGGAAATACATGCTCAAAGTTTATCAGCACAAGCCTTTCAGCGCTAGCATTCCAGCACAAGCATCACAGCATCCTGTACATTAGGACTACCTTTCTCAGCGTGGCAAAACTGAGCGTCCATAGAGTTAACGAGGAAAATCTCAGCCTGACAATAAATCCCACTGAGAATTAGAGCGCCGTGGAAATGAGTGCCTACAAAGTCAGTACAAAATACACCAGCGGGAGAGAAAGGCGCGCAGTTAAGTTAGTACGACCTGATTCTGCAGTGATCATTGCTATTTATGTGTCACACTCAGGGGCATCACACACTTTATGACCGGTAAGACCATGGTCGTACCACTTTTCATATGACGTGGTCTGCCCAATTCATCCAAAAAGCAGTGAAAATTTCATAGGATCATGCACTTCTACTTTCGAAGTACATGCACATGCACTTGTACATTCACTGTGTACATAACTCACGGAGTTGACTTGGAGTAGAGCAGGGTATGCATATGTGCCCTTTATTGGTACTGTTCTGTCTGTACCCATGGTTGCTGCCAGTGCCAGTAGCATACTAGTACTTGTATACCAGGTAGTTGTATTTAGTGCTGTGCACTACTTGTATAATGATGCTATGTAGTTACATTGACTGTTGCTGAATGGTAAAATGTAAACATGGTAGTCTACATGTACATGTATGTCGTCAGCTCATACACACACACACACACACACTCACAGAGTGACAACCCCCCCCCCCCCCCCCCACACACACACACACAAACACCCCCCCCCCCCCACACACACACACAAACACCCCCCCCCCCCCACACACACACTCACTCTTACAAAGACAGTCTACTAAGCAGCAAACACCTAGCCTGCAGGACCAGTAGATCAGCTATGGTATATGCATGAAGTGTTGGCATGTCATGTCGGCATGGAGACGGCCTTTCCAGGGTAACTGGAGCTGTGAAAAAACTCAGTTCTGATTTGACTTTCTTACTTTTCTGTTGTGGTGAAACAATGTCAGTATGAACGGGAGGACGGCCTATGCATTGTAACTGGAGCTGCGAAAGAACTGTCTGCTTGATTTACTTAGTTTTTGTAGTGGTGAACCAATGGCAGAATGAAAAGGAGGGCTGCCCCACATAATCAAATTATAGACCTGAGAAATGTTGCAGAGTGTGTGATTTCAGCAGACGTGTCACATAATTGGCAGACACTGGCTTGAACAGTGCTAGGATAAGAAGTGCTATGGAAATGTTCTGCGCTGGCACTCAGTGCATGACCACAGATACCAGGCATGCGGATAATGGGGTGCAACTTCAAGAGATTTAATACCATCCTCTTCTAAAGTTAAAGGGGAAGTTAAGCCTAAAATCAAATTTGCACCAACTGTAGTCTTCGGGGTGCTGAGTCGAATGGTCTTGGTCCGAGGGAGCTGAGACGCTCCATTCCTCCTTTATTCCAGATCGAACTCGCGCACTTCCACCGAAACTGGGTGACTGCGCCCTACTACATGGCGATTTGTATGCAAAATGTCACTGAAAGCGCCATTTCGTTCTTATAAAAGCCTGGATGACTGTGATTGGCCCATATGTTGTAGACTTTTGGACGCCGAGTCGACTGGTTTTGGTCCAAAAAGGCTGCGATGCAGCGTTCGGCCCTTATTCCCAATCGAACATGGTTGAACAAGCGGTCACGCGCTCCTGCGTACACCAGTCACCTGGTCACCGTGCCTGCAGGCTACAACTTACAGCATGTTTGGGCGAGTTTCTGTCACTCGAGTTGAACCGTTGAACCTTCGAGTTGAACCTTGGTGTGAAAATGTGTCGCCTGCTGGCGTGGTGACCAGGTGACTAGTGTACGCAGGAGGACGTGACCGCTTGTTCAACCATGTTCGATTGGGAATAAGGGCCGAACGCTGCATCGTAGCCTTTTCGGACCAAAACCCAGTGGACTCAGCGTCCAAAAGACTAATGGGATGAATCCGGGTGTTGTAGGCTAGCTAGACCCAATTCAATCTTAACATATCCTTCCCATTTTCTTCAATAACTTCTTCCTCATATCTACATCACACGTATTGTGCTTTGTTCTGGTGTATGTGTATAATTATATTGTGCAGCTGATAATGGCCAGTATGCAGCAGCTCTCAGTGAACTGATGAAGGAAGGTGTGCAGCTGATACCGTATGGCCGACTGATAATGTGCGGGCCAGGCCGCACAGGCAAGAGCAGCTTCCTGCGATCCCTCCTGCATCAAGCGTTCATGTCTCAAGTCGACAGCACAATCGGTGTGGAGCTGGAGAAGGTGATCTGCACCATCGAGAAACAAGGGTTACAGTATGTGTGGAAGCAAGCTGAAGATTCTTACCAGCAGCAGTTGGCCCTGACACACAGAGCTGTTGGACAAGAGCAAAGGAAGAAAGAGATAGTAGCAGCACTGAGACAACAAGGTGTGGAGATCCCAAAGAACACCAGATCCACATCCTCCATGCCATCAACTCCTGCAGCATCACCATCCGCTGTGGTTGAGACTGAGCAAGCAGATGCAGCCAGTGTGAGTGAATCTGCTATCAGCCAACGTGATGAAGCCATCCACACCGGATACTCTGGTCAATCAGCTACCAGTTCATCTGAAACCATGTACTCTCAGAATGTTCCCACTGCATCCAAGCCGGAGGAGGTCTCAACCATGAGTGTAGAACAGGTAGCAACAGCAGAGCAAGATGTGCAGCAGCTACAGACGGAAATCAACTCAGCAACGCAGAAGTTTGAAGGCTTCATTGAAGATCTGAAGAAGGGCAAAAGTGAAGTTTTCACTGCAGAGCATCTGAAGAACCTGACATTTATAGATGTCTGGGACTTTGCTGGTCAGAAGCTGTTTGCAGCGATCCAACACATGGTCCTGGCCTGTGATCGATGTGCATATGCTGTTGTATTTGATTCCTCAAAGAAGCTCCAGGACCGAGCGAAGCCGACTTTTGGTGTAGACGGTGAGGAACTGCCGCTTTCCAACAGTCTGGAGCAGACCAACTTTGATGTGATGGAGACGTGGTTCAACGCTATCCACGAGGTCATTGGAGACAGCGACAACGTACCCGTGTTTGCCATTGGCACTCATGTGGACAAGTTACCAAAGAAGCCAGAAGCAAGGAAGAAGGCAACTGAAGAGATATATAAAGAAGTACATCTTGGCCAATGCAGATAGTAAGGCCTATGCAAACAACATTGACAAGGTGGTATTTGTGGATAACACACGAGCTGGCAAGGATCCAGAAGACCCAGCAGTTGTTCAGCTACGGCATGACATCATCCAGCAGCTGCAGCATCAGTTCAGCGTTGCCATACCATTTCGTTGGCTGCCTGTAACCATCTCCATTGGGCACATTGCAAAATCATTCGAACGACCATGGTTATCTGTTGACGAGCTACGTCGCTTGGCCATTGCTGTTGGCAGCATCTCCAGTGATGATTCGGAGTCCGATTTCCAGGAGATGTTGAAGTTCCAACATGGTCTTGGTCATTTGCTTCACTTTGTTCACAATGCCCGTCTTCGTGATCGTGTGATCATTGACATCCACTGGGTTCTGAAGACGATGTCACTGCTCTTTTGTCCTGAACCAAAGGATATGCAGAGCAAGCGTCTACGTCCACAATACGACTTGCTGACTCAGGATGGCATCCTCCTTGAAAGCCTTGCCATGCACCGCTGGTCACAGCACAATCGTATGACATCGCGCTACACGGCCACAGAAGAACAGCGCAATTTCCTGTTTGAGATGGGTGAGCACTTTGCCCTGTTCTACAACACCAAGACATCTGTGAGCGTGCCTGGTCAGAGAAAGGAGGTGACAACTCGCAAGTTCTTTGTACCAGCACTAGTGGAGCGAGTTGCACGTCTTCAAGATGAATTGAGCAAAGGCAAGCCAAGTTCAGCTATGTACCTTTACAGTGGTGCAGATCGTTACTTTCCACAAACCCTGTTCTGGTGTGCTGTTGTGAGGTGTATGCAACGCTACAGTCCAAAGGTGGATCCTATCCTGTATCACACATCAGCACGTATTCTGGTGAAGGATCGCTTCTGGCTGGTTTTGCAGTATTTCCAGCATGGCATTCGCCTGTCACTGGAGATTCCCGTCGCGGCTGGCACAACGAAGTCTTTTTCTACCGATGCTGTTGCTCGTGTGGCAAATTCAGTTGGCTCTCCTGGCGTTGGTACTGCAGCAAGCGAGGATGAGTCCGCTGCAGTCAAGCTTTGTCATGAGCTTCTACCATACCTGGAGTCGGAGCTTGACAATCTGAAGGCATTCTCGCTGACTCACGTGAAGTTTAGCAGAGCTGTTCGCTGTCCATGCTCGTTCAGCCGAGATGCGTGTCGCAAACACAAGAAGAAGGGTTGTGCAGAGATTGGCTGTCAGCACTTTGCTCCACTGGTGGAGGGATTACGTCCACGTTGTACCATCGGAGGACGCCCAGAAGTGGATATCAGTGATGTACGGCAATACTGGCCATGCTTTGCCAAAGATACACAGGTAAAAACGAAAAAGAGGTCATATTCAGTTTTTCTCAATATATATTTCCCCATGCTTTGCGTTTACAGCCCGGCCGAGAGTATGCATTAATACAAGGCCACTACATGTCAGAATGGTGCAGCTGTTAGGGCTGTGAGGCCAATCTCTTTTACTCAGTTGCCCTGATCTGGAAGTGTTTTTAAATCTACCGGCTCCCACACCAAACAATCACACTGTACTCTAACCCAAACCAGTGTAGGTAATATTGCACAATACAGCATGCATTCGCTGGCTCAGGGTTTGCTGTTTCCATGACAACCACCATGTGACGAGAGACACTGGCATGCACGTACACATTATTAATTTATTATTTTTGTCGAACCGTGTCGACAGGTCCATCAAACCCAAATCTTTGAGAAAAGATTTCCCCTGATCGCATTTCTCCATAATGTAAAGCCGGGAATTTTCGGTGGTGTAATATTTTCGGTTTTTCCCAAAATCAACGTTTCGGTAGGCTGACGGTAGCGCGAAAATTTCGGTAAATCAGTTTTCCAGATCCAAAAATGCATTTTGCACACTGTGTGGCATGGATTGTTGAATTTTAGTTCTCAGTTTATTTTAGGTAACAATCACCTGTACTGAAGTTACTGAAAATAAATCTGCTCCTAAATTTTCCCTTTTCACAGTAGTGCTTGATACCCGGAATGAGTACAAGTATATTTTGCTGCACTTGCAAGACAATAGCAATAGAAACATAAGGAGTTGATGTGGACAAATGCAATAGGGCTTGAAAGTGCTATACCACAACCAGGCCAGGGTCATGACAGCGCTGAATTTACGATCAAATTGTAGTCTAGTTTTGTATGGATCCATGCACGTTTGAGTTGTTTCCTTCTCCATAGGGTGAAAAATCTGCCCAGACTGACTGGACTGCTTCCAACCCCCGAGTAGTGGGGACCAAATTCTGGCACTGAATCCAATTCAGTACACCAGCATGTGACACAATGTCAATGAGAGCCTACCTGACAGATATGCACTTTGCTATACTATCGAAGTAGATCCCCCAGAAGTCGTTATCTGCTTATCTGTTGAGTTCTGACTTCATCATTTTTAGTCCCGGTACAAGTCTACAGTAAAGGGATGGGGGAATGGCTGGTGTAAATCATTTTCTTTGTCTGCATGCCACATTGCTGTGTTTCATTGATTCTCTCCAGATCCCAGAGCTTGCTGATCCTGAGAAGCCAATGCCGGCAATGCCAATGACAGTTGTGGAGCCCGCAGTCAAGGACAATGGTGAGATAATTCAGTATAGTGTGAAATTGATAATATGCCCTGGAAAGTACTGTGCTGCTCAATGAAATCCGGTCACGGGAATCAAGTACGTGCTCGTCGCTGTGCAACCCTGGACCTGCAAACACTGGTTTGTGACCTGGTGCAGTGCACTGACTACTTACTTGACTCACTTGATCGGATTTCATTGAACATTCACTGTGGAATACGGGAATGCAGGCTGGAGAACGAGACATGAGAAGCTAGTATAACCTGCCTATCCCTGGTCACTAGAGTGTAGGGTTCACGCAGGGAAGGACACACTGGAATTGACCATAATGTCGGGTACGAAGGCTGAATAAAAGACTGGGATTATTCCTATAGAAACGTGTGTCAGTGCTGGGCTTCTCTTCAAATCAGGTCGGTATTTAACCCTTTGTTTACAGACTGTACAACTTTCGATCCCCTGGTACCGAAACTTTTCAAGATTTCAATCGATCGTAACTCAGTCATTTCTGGGGTATTTCAAAAACTAAGATGTGTAGGTCGAAGAGAAAAACTCCCAGCTGTCCATTGAAACAATCGCTGAAGCGCTCCGATGTGCGGTTCTGGGAATGTGTGTGTGTGTATGTGTGTGTGTATGTCGATCGAATCGATAGGTTGCGGGTTCGATTCCCGACGATTATGGTCACACACGTCTTTCTTCTCTTTCTCAGACTCTTCCTGACTTTTCTTTCATTCTCCTGGGTGGTTACCAACAGCCAGTGTATGCCGGAGTATGTGTTGTGGTGTGTGTGTAGAAAAAGAAAAAAAAGAAAAAAATGGAAAAATGAAAAAAAAGGATTCACTGGCCAGAAAAAGTCACTTCAAACAGCTGTGTGGTGGATACCAGGCTAAAAATAGTGGCGGTCAATTCATCAGCCTTGCAAGCTGTTGAATGGTGTAATCCCAGCACAAGAGTCTATGTCTAACATAGCTGTTCGCTATCATCGCTCCCGCGATGGGCATGTCTGAGGTCTGAGGTGTGTATGTGTGTGTTTGTGTGTGTGTGTGCATGTGTGTGTGTGTGTGTGCGTGAGTGTGTGTGTGTGTGTGTGTCCATTGTTCTTATCACCTGACGAGGGCCAAGTGCCGAAACGTTGTAAAATAACGGAACTTGTTCGGATGTGCAGCGCTCTTGGAATGGGTGTGTCCACTCAAATTCCTTTCCATGTATTATCGGTGTTGTGCAATTCCATTTTTATTTGTTTCTGGACATGTAGTTGTGGGTAGTTGTGTGTTCATGTGTCATCTGTGCCTTCTGTATTTTGCTGCTTTCGCAACAGACAATCCGTTTGACCTGGATAGGTTTGTGTGTGACATTCAACCATGGCTGAACAAAGTTGACGCAGATCTACTGCGGCGGATGGTGGTCAAGAAACATCTCATAACTGACAGCGCATCAATAGAGAGACTAAAGAGAATTCGGACCCGGGATGGACTATCTGATCATAATGAGGAGCTCATCCAGTTGCTCAGAGCTGGTGGCCTAAAGACTTATCGTGATCTCGGTGTTGTCATTGAGGAACTTGGGTATGTGGACAAGAGCAAGGAAATGCTCTCCATTTTGTCCCACACAGGTACGTTGTTGCTATCCTTTTACTGCAATGTGTTCAACTTTGGTGATGTTTAATGGACAGCTGAGAGTTTTCTCTTCGACGTACTTATTTTAGTTTTTGTAAATAACCCAGGAATGACTGAGTTCCTTCGATTGAAATTTTGAAAAGTTTCGATCCCAAGGGATCGAAAGTTGTACAGTCCGTACACAAAGGGTTAAATCTGTTATTTCAAATGTATTTCCTCAGTAAAACCATTCTTGCATGCCGATACCTTACCTTGAAAATCAGGCTTGTTTTCAAAACAGTCTTTTATACAAGACAGCATAGCATGTGTACAGGGTCATTGGAGTGCAGGGTGATTGATGGGGAAAGGATACATGGGAAGTCATTTGCACTGGGGCACTAGAATGAAGGATGCATGCAAGGAATGAGGGTTCAGGGGGTCAAGTACGGAATTAGGAATTTAGCGTTTTCGATTGGGTCCTTTCCGGATGAATATCTGCCGCAGAAAATATAACCATATCAAAAAAATATCGACAATGCTGTCGTCCGCCTTTGATCTATAGTGCATGCAGCTCGGGCTGTACTCGGAGTTCTCACCAAACACGATAGGTCGAGTACTGGTTCCCACCTGCATCACAGCCTAGCAACCCTACAAGCGCTTGTCATGTCAAATCTTGTTGCAATGACCATGACCAACTGAGAAAAAAATGTCAGATATGATTTCTTTATCTTCACCTCTCCATGCTCACATATCAACCAATGTCAACAAACATCTGTGATAAAATTGAGAAATTTGAGTCCCCTGGAGGTGTGAATTTGCTGTTTCTGGTCCATACTTTTTGCGTGAGATGTGTGAGGATGCCGGATTTAATGAACTGAATAATGTACTTTTGTAGGACGGAAAGGTAG